AGGACTCGTAGGAGTCAGCTTTCAGTCCCTTAGTCCACTGTCCAAATGTGGTGCGTAAGTGACTCGCCACATCCGTGTAAGAATCCCCAAGTCCCTTCTGCATGGACCTGAACCACTTGCGGTACACTTCCGGGGTCATCTGGTACTTCCGGATGATGGCATCTTTTAAAACTTCATAATCATCATCCTGCCCCTCTGGCATTTCTACAAACACGTCCAGAGCCTTGCCTCGTAGCCCTGGTGTCAGGTACCGAGCCCATTGAGTTGGAGGCACATGGCACGTTTTTTCAAATGACAGTAAGTACGTGTCAATGTCACTATCTTTTTCCATCACTGGAAACTTGGCTGCTGGGCCCACGACCAGAGAGGTGTCCCTGTGCTCTAGGGACCTGAGGTTCTGACCCGGTCTCTGCTGGAGCCTCGCCATCTCCAGCTCATGCCAACAATCAGCTTCCCTCTGCACCACCTCTCTCTCAGCCGCTCTTTCAGCTTGGCGTTCTGCAGCTTCTCTGTCAGCCGCTGCTCGGCGTTCCTCTCTCTCCACCTGGCGTTCAAGGAACTGCAAGTAGGCCAGAGGATCTGACGGTAACATTTGGTGATCCTCCAGTGTCAGTCTCTGTATGATCATCCTGCAAGGCCGTCTGTGAGCCACTGGGAATGTAGGCATCGGGAACCCCATCATGTTCAAATTCCCCCGAGTTCTGATCTGCTCGGATATCATACTCCACTAGATCACTAATCAACTCTTCACGATTTTTGTGACCGGCGTCCAAGCCTCGTGAGGTACATTCCGCAGTCAAATCACTTTTGCTCATTTTCCTTTATTCTGCGGGACCAGGCATGATTGCAAGCAAAGATAGAATAGAAAGTAGAAAAAAGGAAGGAGCTGTTGCTATATGTCTCTCTCTCTCTCTCTCTCTAAAAAAAAATATTCACCGCTTGTTTCTAAGGACTGTTTCCACAAAGGTTACAATCCTTCAGTGCAGAGACAATTTTTTAACAGTGCACTGAAGCTCTTGATGCAACTATCCCACCGCTGCCACCAATATGTCACGATCGCAGCGTCAGACCCCAGACCTTCTCACCAAACTCGTGACCGAAGGACTAGCCAATCTAAAACTGGGATGTCACGTGCGTAACAATGGCACACCCAGCTGCACCCTGCACAATGATTTTCCAGCTAATGGACCACAGATCGATGTACCAGCAGCCTGAGCGATTGTTACTGGGTCAGGTTATTTACGCAATTAACCCTTCACACTGCCACCACCTCCTTTTTGTACAGAGAAAGAGAAAACTTGGCAATATTAGCTAAAACACTATAATGGTTGAGATAATCGTCTGCATAATATGGTCACCGCAGGCTGATTATGCAGAGGGTTAAACACACACAGTAGCGTCTCTTTAGAGGCAGGAATTCGTAAATTGCAATAAAGCGCTATAGAAACAGTTCAACACTTTCAGAAGGAAAGATTTATTACTAAAAGGTCAAACGGGTGCAATAAAAATATTTACAGAAAAGATGTAACTAAGATATATATATAAACATACAGAGACCAACAGCACAGCAAAGAGATATCAGAGAGAGCTGAAAGGGTTAAGGTACTTGCCAAAGTCCTGGGTTAGCAGATCTAAGTTTCAGAGCAAAAGGGCACGGGTCTCCCCAGGTGGTATTGATGTTAAAAAGGGAGATGTCTTCAACTTTCTTCTCTTAGGCCTGACAGCCCAATTTGTAGTTCCCCAGCGCAGGGTGTGTCTCTGACGTCAAGGACCAATACCCCGTGTAGGGTGTGGAGGTCTGTGTGTTGACCTAAACTAGAGTCAAAATCTTGTGTAGTTCATATTTGGGTCATAACTTTTCCTATGCACAAGTGACATTCCACCCGCGGGTAGATTATTATGCAGACACGCCTGAGGATTGATTAGAGAAGAAATATGTAATTCTATACTGAACGGTTCATGAGATCTATTTTTCTGCTTTCCTATGTATTTGAGACAAGGCGAGTGGTTGAAGCCAAAATGGTTGAACCGCGTCCATCTCTGGGTATACCCTGTTACAGGGGGTACACCCCAAAAGCTTGTCCTGAAAAATTTGTATGTTAGTGCAATTAAAAAAAGTATCACGGACAGTACTCAAGAGAATTTCCGTTACTCTAGTAACCTATTCAATTTTTATATGAGACTAACATGGAAAAAAAAAAAAATGGACGATTATTCGTCTGATATTCTCATCGTGTGTACCGAGCTTTAGTGTTGTATACAGTAGCAAAACTGGGCAATCTTAGATTGTAAGATCTAATGAACAGGGCCCTCTGATCCCTCCGGTATTAATTTGTATTGTAATTGTACTGTCTGCCCTTATGTTGTAAAGTACTGTGTAAACTGTTGGCACTATATAAATCCTGTATAATAATAAAAATAAGGACAGTAATAATGGGAAAACTTGGTCCCATTGTAGTAATCAAATTGTAGGACATTGTTCTTAAATTACCAAATAGAATAAAAAAAATGTTATCAATATAGTACAGTTATCTAAGAGTTGATCTGGTTGTTGTGCTCATCTTCTAGCTTCAATACTTTCTAAACCACTGAACTGGTACAGGAGTTCTGACTTTAATTGCCATGTTCTATCTCCAGGTCAATGACCTGACAAACTCCAGATGCCAGCTAGACAGCTAGAATATCAAGGTAGGAGCAATGGTATCCAATATATTTCATGGCATGTGACAGTCAATGAATGAACAAAATATTCTTTGTCATATGTTTCTTATTCATCAAAGGCTTCCTGCTACTGAATTAGTGGGAAATGTTCACTGTTAGATTTTCTTGTTTTACTTAAAAACAATCAAACTCTTCTTTCTTTGTGTCAGGGCTCCCGGGTACGACCAGAGGTGTGTGACTGACGCAGGGAAACGCAGACTTCCGATAAGTTATAAACAATTTATTAACACTAACAATACAAACATAAACGCAGTGCAATACTAAAACATAACACAGTGCAAACGAACCACACCAAACCACCCACAGATAACAGTACATACAGTGCAAGCGTCGTCAGGCAGGCCGGGTCAATATCAAACGGGCAGGTAGGTACAGGGGGAGCAAGCGGAGAATAGTCAGGTCACGAGCAGGGTACAGCAACTAACAGGCAGGTAGGTACAGGGGGTCAGGCAGAGAATGGTCGGGGTCACAAGCCAGGGATCAGAACAGGAGAAGTCAGCAGAGGTCAGAATCAAGCCGGGTCAGCAACAAGACAGGAACAGAAACAGGAGCAGGATGCAGGAACAAGATACAGGGCCCAGGAAAAACACAACACCAAGGCAGAGTCTGCAGGTCTGAATGTCCCTTAAATACACCAGTATAATTAGTTCCAGGTGTTTGACTGGCTGCAAGGTTGAGTCTCTGATTGCTGGGAGCACCAGCTGGCCAGCCCTGGTACTGCAGCTCACAAGGCAGGTGAGTCCCACTATTGCTGGCCAGTCCATTCCTGACAGTACCCCCCCCCCCTCAAGGAGCGGCCTCAGGACGCTCCAAACAGTCCTAGCTGGGCAAAATGTTCCACCGCCCGGGTCTGGTAACTGGCGGGATATCAAAGACTGGCACACCGGGCAGGACTCCGGGCAGCGGCACACCGGGCAGGACTCCGGGCAGCGGCACACCGGGCAGAGGCACACCAGGCTGGACTCCGGGCTGGACTCCGGGCAGAGGCACATCGGGCTGGACTCTCCGGGCAGAGGCACATCGGGCTGGACTCCGGGCAGAGGCACATCGGATTACCAGGTGAGGCAGCAGGCACCGGGCCCCCAGGCGGGGCGACAGGCATCAGGCCCCCAGGCGGGGTGACAGGCACCGGGCCCCCAAGCGGAGCGGTGGGCGCCGGGCCCCCAGGAGGGGCGACAGGCATCGGGCCCCCAGGCGGAGCGACAGGCATCGGGCCCCCAAGCGGAGCGGCGGGCGCCGGGCCCCCAGGAGGGGCGACAGGCATCGGGCCCCCAGGCGGGGCGACAGGCATCGGGCCCCCAGGAGGGGCGACAGGCATCGGGCCTCCAGGAGGGGCGACAGGCATCGGGCCCCCAGGAGGGGCGACAGGCATCGGGCCCCCAGGCGGGGCGACAGGCATCGGGCCCCCAAGCGGAGCGGCGGGCGCTGGGCCCCCAGGAGGGGCGACAGGCATCGGGCCCCCAGACGGAGCGACAGGTCTCAGGCCCCCAGGCGGAGCGGCGGGCGCCGGACCCCCAGGCGGAGCAACAGGTCTCGGGCCCCCAGGCGGAGCGGCGGGCACCGAGTCACCAGGCACGACAGTGGGCACCGAGTCGTCTGGCAAGACTGCGGGCACCGAGTCGTCTGGCAAGACTGCAGGCACCGAGTCAACTGGCGGAACAGCGGGCATCGAGTCAACTGGCGGAACAGCGGGCATCGAGTCAACTGGCGGAACTGCGGGCACCGAGTCGTCTGGCAAGACTGCGGGCACCGAGTCGTCTGGCAAGACTGCGGGCACCGAGTCGTCTGGCAAGACTGCGGGCACCGAGTCAACTGGCGGAACAGCGGGCACCGAGTCGTCTGGCAAGACTGCGAGCACCGAGTCGTCTGGCAAGACTGCGGGCACCGAGTCAACTGGCGGAACAGCGGGCATCGAGTCAACTGGCGGAACAGCGGGGGCACCGAGTCGTCTGGCAAGACTGCGGGCACCGAGTCGTCTGGCAAGACTGCGGGCACCGAGTCAACTGGCGGAACAGCGGGCATCGAGTCAACTGGCGGTACAGCGGGCACCGAGTCGTCTGGCAAGACTGCGGGCACCGAGTCGTCTGGCAAGACTGCGGGCACCGAGTCAACTGGCGGAACAGCGGGCATCGAGTCAACTGGCAGAACTGCGGGCACCGAGTCGTCTGGCGGAACTGCGGGCACCGAGTCGTCTGGCAAGACTGCGGGCACCGAGTCGTCTGGCAAGACTGCGGGCACCGAGTCAACTGGCGGAACAGCGGGCATCGAGTCAACTGGCGGAACTGCGGGCACCGAGTTGTCTGGCAAGACTGCGGGCACCGAGTCGTCTGGCAAGACTGCGGGCACCGAGTCGTCTGGCAAGACTGCGGGCACCGAGTCAACTGGCGGAACAGCGGGCATCGAGTCAACTGGCGGAACTGCGGGCGCCGAGTCATCTGGCAAGACTGCGGGCACCGAGTCGTCTGGCAAGACTGCGGGCATCGAGTCGTCTGGCATTGGATCGTCTGGCTCGACAGCGGGCATCGGGTCACCAGGTATGACAGCGGGCACTGGGTCACCAGGCATCAAGTCATTTGGCTCGCCAGCGGGCACCGCGTCATCTGGCAAGGCAGTGGGCACCGAGTCACCAGGTACGACAGCGAGCTCTGAGTCAATTGGCACGACAGCGGGCACCGGATCAGGTACCGGATCATCTGGATCAACAGCGGGCATCGAGTCAACTGGCCTAATAGGATCATCAGGCTGGATCAGTTCATTATGCTGGGAAAGCATCCGGCTGAGTAGAGGCATCCGGCTGAGTAGAGGCTTCAGGCTGAGTAGAGGCTTCAGGCTGAGTGGAGGCATCAGGCTGAAGAGAGGCATCAGGCTGAAGAGAGGCATCAGGCTGAACCACGGAAGGCAGGTTCTCAGATGGTAGGTTCACCGGTTTGGATACTGGCAGGATTGTACTGGTTGGAAAGAATTTTCACTTTTTCTGGTTTTAACTACTGGGGCACTGCAAGTACAGTTGCAAGAAAAAGTATGTGAACCCGTTGGGATTACGTGGAATTTTGCATGAATTGGGCATAAAATGTGCTCTGAACGTCATCTAAGTCACAACAATAGAAGAACACAGTCTGCTGAACATAATACTACACAAACATTAGATGTTGCCATGGTTTAATTGCACATATCATGTAAACATTCACAGTGCAGGGAGGAAAAAGTATGTGAACCTTTGGATTTAATAACTGGTTGACCCTCCTTTGGCAGCAATAACCTCAACCAAACATTTCCTGTAGTTGCAGATCAGACCTGCACAACGATCTGGAGTCATTTTGGATCACTCCTCTTCACAAAACTGTTTCAGTGTAGCAATATTCTTGGGATGTCTGGTGTGAATCGCTCTCTTAAGGTCATGCCACAGCATTTCAATCGGGTTGAGGTCAGGACTCTGACTGGGCCACTCCAGAAGGCGTATTCTGTGCTGTTGCAGCCATTGTTTTGTTGAATTACTTGTATGCTTTGGGTCATTGTCCTGTTGCATCACCCATCCTCTGCGGAGCTTCGAGTCAGTTGGCGGACAGATGGTCGTACGTTTTCCTGCAAAATGTCTTGATAAACTCTGGAATTCATTTTCCCATCAATGACAACAATCCGTCCAGGCCCTGAGGCAGCAAAGCAGCCCCAAACCAGTTTCACAGTGGGGATGAGGTTTTGATGTTGTTGTGCTGTGCCTTTTTTTCTCCACACATAGTGTTGTGTGTTCTTCCCAAACAACTCAATCTTGGTTTCATCTGTCCACAGTATATTTTGCCAGTAGTGCTGTGGAACATCCAGATGCTCTTTTGCAAACTTCAAACGTGCTGCAATCTTCTTTTTGGACAGCAATGGCTTCCTCCGTGGTGTCCTCCCATGTACTCCATTCTTGTTTAATGTTTTCCTTATTGTAGATGTGTCAAAAAAATGTTAGCATGTGCCAGAGGAGATTTCTGTAGGTCTTTAGCTGACACTCTGGGATTCTTCTTTACCTCATGCAGCATTCTGCGCTGTGCTCTTGCAGTCATTTTTACAGGATGACCACGCCTAGGAAGAGTAGCAACAGTGCTAAACTTTCTCCATTTGTAGACAGTCTGTCTTACCGTGGACACATGAACATCAAGGCTTTTGGAGATACTTTTGAAACCCTTTCCAGCTTCATGCAAGTCAACAATTCTTGACCGTAGGTCTTTTGAGAGCTCTTTTCTGCGAGGCATGGTTCACATCAGACAGTGCTTCTTGAAACCAGTAAACCCAAAACAGGTGTGTGTTTTTTAAGGGCAGGACAGCTGTCAGTAACACATCCAATACCATCACACTGATTGGAGTCAAGGTCGGCTCACTCCTGGCTCCAATTAGCTCTGGGAGAAGTCATTAAGCTAGGGCCTCACATACTTTTTCCTCCCTGCACTGTGAATGTTTACATGTTATGTGCAATTAAACCATGGCAACATCTAATGTTTGTGTAGTATTATGTTCAGCAGACTGTGTTCTTCTATTGTTGTGACTTAGATAACGTTGAGAGGACATTTTATGCCCAATTCATGCAAAATTCCACGTAATCCCAAGGGGTTCACATACTTTTTCTTGCAACTGTAAATGCAGGTCTGCAAATGAATGGAGCAGCTGGAGACAGAGAAGAGCTGGAGGATGGAACAGGGGAAGGAACAGTCGCTACAGAGGGCTTCTTTACAGGGTTAAAGGCAGGATAGGTGCAGCGAGTGGGAACAGGGTACTGACATGCAGTAGATAGCAGGGCAGGAGGAGCTGTTTGGGAATACAGGAGTAGAGCTTTGAGGAGATAGATTAGAAGCAGGACTGGGTCTTTGTAAGCTGACTGAGGCTGGGTGCAACAAATCTGTCCATGTCTGCAGTATGGGTTGAACAAAGCTGAGCTTACACAAAGCCTGTCTGACCAAAGACTGCACTGCGTTTATACAATCTCTTAGTACCTGTGGTGAACATGTGGAATAACGCTCCAGAAAGTAATCCGCATCATCCTCTAATAACCATACCAGGGACTCTACCTGGTCTGCACTAAATGGTGGCAAAAATTCATCCCTGCATTCGGGGGAACCAGATGAAACCAACTCAGCACAAACCTCAATCAATGGCTGCACCTCAGAGAACTCTGTGCCCTGATCTACTAGAACATGAGCGAGCCGTATACATTCTAGCAGTTCATCCCGGGTATACTCCTTCAGAGTTTGATAAGCATACTCCCTGTCATCAAACACTAGCAGATATAAATACGCAACCTCATCCAGATCCATCCTTCCCATCAACAAGCCAAGATGGCTTCCCTGTGCAGCCACTTCTGGTCAGGATTGGCCTTGGTGTAATGTCAGGGCTCCCGGGTATGACCAGAGGTGTGTGACTGACGCAGGGAAACGCAGACTTCCGATAAGTTATAAACAATTTATTAACACTAACAATACAAACATAAACGCAGTGCAATACTAAAACATAACACAGTGCAAACGAACCAAACCAAACCACCCACAGATAACAGTACATACAGTGCAAGCGTCGTCAGGCAGGCCGGGTCAATATCAAACGGCAGGTAGGTACAGGGGGAGCAAGCGGAGAATAGTCAGGTCACGAGCAGGGTACAGCAACTAACAGGCAGGTAGGTACAGGGGGTCAGGCAGAGAATGGTCGGGGTCACAAGCCAGGGATCAGAACAGGAGAAGTCAGCAGAGGTCAGAATCAAGCCGGGTCAGCAACAAGACAGGAACAGGAGCAGGAGCAGGAACAGGAACAGGAACAGGATACAGGGCCCAGGAGAAACACAACACCAAGGCAGAGTCTGCAGGTCTGAATGTCCCTTAAATACACCAGTATAATTAGTTCCAGGTGTTTGACTGGCTGCAAGGTTGAGTCTCTGATTGCTGGGAGCACCCGCTGGCCAGCCCTGGTACTGCAGCTCACAAGGCAGGTGAGTCCCACTATTGCTGGCCAGTCCATTCCTGACACTTTGCTTCTTAAAGCCAAATGAAGGTGTGACTGTCAGAAAGGAATCCCTTATTAAAACCTTTATCAGACGTCCTGACATTGTGCTATGCTGACTTGAATATTTCATGCAAATTTATGTTAACATGCAAACTTTTAGCTCAACTATAACCTGATTTTTTTTGTGTCAAAAGAGTATGTTATATATAGAGCCAGAGGCGGCTCTAGGCTTTGTGAGGCCTTCGGCAAAACTTAAACATGAGGCCCCACTCATGCCCATAATGGGAAAAATAATTAAAGCGATAAACATTAGCTGTATAAATTGCCCCATATATCCAGCAAAGAGACATGCCCCATATATTTAGCAAAGAGACATGCTCCATATATTTAGCAAAGAGACATGCCTCATATATCCAGCAAAGAGACATGCCCCATATATCCAGCATGGAGACATCCCTCATATATCCAGCAAAGAGACATGCCCCATAAATTTAGCAGAGACATTCCCAATATATCCAGCAAAGAGACATGCCCCATATATCCAGTAAGGAGACATCCTCCATATATCCAGCAAGGAGACATCCTCCATATATCTAGCAAAGAGGCTTGCCCCATATATTCAGAAAAGGGACATTCATCATATATCCAGCTAACAGACATCCCCACATATCCAGCTAACAGATAGCCAAATCCAGCTAACATACAGCCCAGTCCAGCTAAGAGACAGTCCATTCCACAGTCCAGTCCAGGTAAGAGACAGTCTTTTCCAGCTAAAAGACAGTCCCAGCTAAGAGACAGCCCAATCCAGCTAATAAACAGTAGCATCCAGAGAAGAGTCAGCCAGGTCCAACTAAGAGACAGTTCAATCCAGCTAAGAGACAGTCCCACCTAAGGGATAGATGAATGCAAAAGACCAGCGCTGAGGAAGCTGTGGCTTGGAATCAGTAAAAACCTCAAGAAAAACGAAACCAGCGCTCAAATCTTCATGCTATATGGAATCTGTCATTTCCTGAGGTGCAGCCTTGGGAAATCTTGATACTGACAACAAAAAGCAAAGAAAGGGTGCACTCTCCTTGTGCATTACAGTGGTAAAAACAAATTTATTAAAATGCATACAAAGTGCATACTCACAAGCCAAAGGAGATAAGAAAGCAGAGACAAAGAACCAATTCTGTCAGTGCCAAAGACAGCTGGGGAACCCTAGATATGATAAGCTAAAGCATTCAGGAGTCGAACTCCCTTCCTCAGAGCTCTGAGGAATGGTGTTTGACTCCCGAAACAGTACAATAAGTTTTATTTAAATTTGAAAAGAAATACAATACAAAAGTAACCCACACAGGGAGCCATATACAGAAATGCATAAATGAAAATCGCTTGCAGTTACAAGTAACAATTATCGAAAAAGCATGCATGACAGCATGCAAAGATTGGACAACTTGGTCAACATCAACCTAAATAACTAGCAAAGACAAAGACCCAGGTATAAGAACGTGTGAGGAAAATACAAAGAAGCCAGAAGAGAAAATAGGAGAAGATATGGGTACAGAGCAGAAAAATTAAAGAAAGTTGTGAGTGATCCCACAGTCTTGGTGTTAATCCACTAGAAAACACACAAGGCTCCATAACTGGCTGGGTGTAGTGTAGAGATAGCATAAGATAGCCAAGGTTCCCATACTTTCAGAAATTTAGAAAGGGAGTCATGTAAGATGCTGGACATCTTTTCGTTGAGCTTCATAGTGGTCAGACAGTCCTTCACTGCTGCAAATGAGACTGTGGGTTTCTTTCAGGCATAGGCTATGGTATGCTTAGCTGCAAGAAACAAGTAGTTGTCTAGTTTCTGTTGGTAGGAAAATAGACCTTGAATAGGAGAGTGCAATTGAGCTAGCTTTGCGTCCTTGTGGATGGGTAAGTAAAATAATGTATGCAAGAGTCAATGTCACTTGCTTTTTGACATAGTTTTCTGGTCTGGGTGTTTGATCCCACCAGCCCTCAGTCACAGGTGTAGATAAAAAGCCAGACCTACAGGCAGGAGGGACTCTGGCCT